CTGTGACGTGTTCTTTATTATGTCATGGTTAAATTTTGCAGAGGTCACTGAAAGTGTTGTCCAGCTGAAATGGCCCAGTATAATTTGGTTGTTAGATTAGAAAAATCAATTGGTACCTTCAATTCCACTGGTAAATAATTAACCTATTGTAGCCTACAGTACATCCTAAAATGTGCCACTCGCAGTAGCTTTATACTTTTGCAGGGTAAAGCCAGTCTTATTAGCCTTTTTCTCCATCTGAGCATACATCACCCACCCTTTGGCAAGAAAAAAATAGCAAGGGACGAAATAGTAGGGAAGAGATGGGTTGCTGATATGTCTGAAGGGAAAATGTGGGAAACTATTTCATATAGGATCTAGAGTCATCTTGGTGAGATGGGTGGTTAAATAAATAAAAAAGTCCATGAGGATGCCCGCAGGGTTTGGTGCTCTCTCCTCTCCTCTTTAACATTTACATGAAACCACTGGGTGAGATCATCCGTCGCCATGGGGTGCAGTAGCATCAGTATGCTGATGATACCCAATTATATCTTTTTGCCCGTGGCAAACTAAATGATGCTATTGATGTCCTATCCTAGTGTGTAGAGACTTTGGGGACCTGGATGGGGAACAACAGGCTTCAGCTAAACCCTGGCAAGACTGAGTGGCTCTGGATTTTGGAGCCCTCCAGTTCAGGGACTATGCCGTCTTTGGTACTGGATGGAGTTGCACTGTCCCAAACAGAACTGGTGCACAATCTGGGAGTCCTTCTAGACTCATGACTCCTGATTGAAGAGCAGGTAGCTGTCATGGCTAGGAGAGCCTTTGTACAGCTTTGTGTTTTGTGCCAGTTGCACCCATTCCTGGACCAGGAGGCTCTGCTTACAGTCACTCATGCCCTGGTCACCTCCTGGATAGACTGTTGCAATGCACTCTACATGGGGCAACCCTTGAAGAGTATTCAGCAGCTTCATCTGGGTCAAAATGCAGTAGCACAGGCAGTTATGTGTGCCTCTAGAACAGCACACATTACACCTCTGCTTCATAAGCTGCACTGGCTGCCAGTTTGCTTTCAGGTCCAATTGCAGGTCCTGGTTTTGACTTTAAAGCCCTTCATGGCATGGGGTTGGGTTAATTGAGGGACTGCCTCTACCCGATTACATTTGCCCATCCCATTGGATCTGACAGAAGAAGAATGCTGCAGGTCTCATCCACAAAGGAGTTACATCTGGCAGGACCCAGGAGATGGGCCTTTTCTGCCATGGCACCTGCCCTGTGGAACATTCCCCCAAGGTGAGACTGGCCCTGTCCTTGACATCATTCTGGCAGTGCCTTAAAATGGTTATGTCAACAAGCTTGGGGATCTCAAGGAAGTGGTTAATTAGTGAGATGGCTGTATTGCCTATAACAATAACTCTCTCTGCTACTCTGAATGCTACTCTCTGTTACTAATGAATCCTGATCGGCCTTCTTAACTGTAGAATGTTTTTTTAATTGTTAGCTTTTTATGGTTTTTTTTGTAATTGTATGCCACCCAGAGTTGTGCTGTGTGAGATGGGTGGCTATATAAATATGATAAATAAATAATGCACTGGAGAGGAATTTCACATTTGCATAATTTTTCTCCATTTAGAATATCATTGCTATAGATGTTTGTGGATCTTGGCAAACTTAATTATAGTTATTCTATTAGATATTATTCAGTCAAATGTATTTGCTGCTGTTCCTTATTTTCAATAATGCTATTAGGTCACATAAATACCTTTCACTTAGTTAATGTATTTTCCTTCAGCTGTTTCAACTTAGCAGAGAGTAACTATGCAGTTCATTGTTATATTTGTTTAGATATCAAAGATAAATCTGATATATCACTTATACAATACAATTAATTATTAATTTAGTTCAAATAATTCCCAATAGACTATTTTACAGTATGAGATTTTGAAATATATGTCTCTTCTGTGGTGAAAATCACAATATAGGCAGAAATCGTTTGTAGCAGTTTTTACTTTCTTGCAACTTGGTAAGAGATCCTTGGTGGTGGTACACTGAACTAGGACTGGGGCAAACCATGTCAAAATCCATTCTCAGCTATGGAAACTCACTGGGTGTCTTTGGGTCAATCACATTCTCTCAGTCTGATTTACACCACAGGGCTTTTGTTATGGGGAAAATTGGAGAAGTGAATACTATGTATACTACTTCAAGCTCCTAGAGAAAAGAATGGAAGATTCATCTCTACTAGATAGACTGGACCAGGAAATCAACACCATGGGAAGACTAGAATTATACTTTACTAAGATTGGCTATAATAATAGAATCTTGTAAGTCTGATTGTGCTGTACCTCCCCAACTTCTTATACCCCAGTGAATCAGGGAGGCGTCTGCCTGAGCCACTTCCGAATATTATCTTGTATTTCAGGCATTAAAGAATGCTTCAGGCCCTTTTGTTGAGGTAACAGTTCTTGCATATTTCTGTCAAGGTAATCTTTCTTAGTCTCTACATATATAAATCAGTCAAACAAATAAAGGTACTTCCTCCATTATTTCATAAAAGTACACTTGATACAAATTCATGTAAAACCAATGACTCTAGCTTTCCATCCTTTGTTTCTATTCATTACACTGAAAGATTTTATATATTGTCTTTCAAATATAGCATGGGGTGAGGGGATCTCTAGTATTATATCTCTGATTAGGTCTCCTGACATTGCCACCTCTTCCATGGCTCTACTAAGGGGAATATGCAACACAGCTCAATTTGTGGTAATTACATACAGCATCCCAGCATAACCTTCGTTCATCTTAAATACAGCACTCAATTTAAAAGCCATCCATCATAGTTGCTTCATGAAATGAAGATGCAAATGCAGAAAACAGATTTCAGTAGCTATGACACTACCACTCTTCTTCCACTCCCAATACCTTCCTGAAGAAGCTGAGTACTGGCACCAGACCTGTTGATTAGGTTAACTGCAAGTCACTTTCAAGTATAATGTAGCTTGAATAGGAGCCCCACAGTTCCTTGATTTCATCTTTGCTTTCACTTCCTATTCTAAAGTGAAAATAGTAAATTCATGTCATTTTTGAGATATAAAAATAAGACTCTCCTTATTTTTACATGGGCTTCGGTTTGTTTCCATTTTAAATTATAGTACCACAGATTGTCTGACAGCCAGTTTGGTATAGTGGTTAAGGCAGGCTAGAAACCAGGAGACTATGAGTTCTAAACCCACCTTAGGCATGAAGCCAGTTGGGTGACCTTGTGCCAGTCACTCTCAGCCCTAGAGAGAGGTAAACCACTTTCAAAAAACCTTGCCAATAAAACTGCAGGGACTTGTCCAGGCAGTCGCCAGAAGTCAACACTGACTTGAAGGCCCACACATCACAGATAGTCATGCTGTAAAGCCTCTTCTCGAATAAAAGTGTTGTCTGGGCTTGGTAGCTAAGCAGGATTGGACCTGCTTTGTTTTTGGATGGGAGATCATCAGAAAATATCAAACTGTAGGCTAGACTGGGAAATAATCAAAAAAATGGAAGAAGGCAATGGCAAACATCTTTCCTACTTTTGCCAAGAAAATTACGTGGATTGTCCATGGAGACATTAGAATCAAGCTCAACTCAAAGGGGATTTACCTTTTTATGATAAATTTAAATTTTCTCCTGTTGTATATAGTATTCCTACATTGATTGGGTCATCAAACATCTTATCAAGTACTTTATCAGCAAATACAGGCCTATAAGAAACCCAGTTATAGTGCAAAATATTTCTCCTTGCCTGATACCGCAGTTCCTCTTTAGGAACACATTGGTTATGCCTAGAAAATATATTTATGTTATTGTGCTAACTGATTCTGAAAAGAACCATTATCATGATTAATCTGAATTCAAGGACATTCATGTTTTAAACTGTTTCCTGGCATATAATAATACTAATTCCTTTAAATAAAGGAACAATCTTGCCACCTCCAGGTCCTTCCATTCAATCCACCTCTCACAAATCTCTCATTCTCTTCTTTCAACCAACCTTATCCCTATTATTCTAACCCTCTCTCATGTATTGTCACCTTCCCAATGACCTCATTTCAACTTCCTAACACTTTCTTCCTATCTTTTGTCCCCCCAACTTCAGTCACCAGTTCTCACACTCTCCAATCTCCTCCAATCCTGTGGAGCTGCCATGACCACAGTTTCTAATCACTAACTGAAACTGAAAATTAAATTACTCATTATTCTACTCTGCTTCATTCCACTCTCCAAAATGTCCGTTGTTCACAGAAGGCAACTATATGGCCCTTGAACCTAAAAAAATCTTCCCAGAGAACCCTCAGGCTCAGGAACCTGTTACTAGCTTTAAAACTGCTGTTTGGAAAGACTTTATAATCTGATTTAATGCTAGCATAGAATTGAATTGTATTCTGTCAGGAATCTTTAGATACATTCTGTATCTTTAAATCACAATCTCCTTAAAATAATGGCTCTATGTAGAAGGCTTTGAAAGATATATAACTGCAATATCACTTTAAATATAAGTGATAATTGGCTGGTTAGCTGTTCTCTTATGTTTTTGTTCAATATTCATAGGGGGTGCTCAATCTTAAGTGAAGTGGATATGTTATTACTATTTGATATTTGCTTTACATAGGGCCTAATCATGGCATGTTATTGAGCATTTCAGTTTTATTTCAACCAGTTGCAAGCATTCTATCAAAAAACTACTGTGAATTAGTTCAATCAGAGTTTACTTTAAAGGAGACTAGACAAATACATGAGGGATAAAGTTATCAATGACTAATCATGTGGTTATACATTACTACTAACATGTAAATGTTATACGTTTTTCAATGCTATTTGTCAAAGAACATGAACAGAAAGCGCATTTGCATTCATGTCCTGTTTGTGGTCTTCCCATAGGTATCTGGTTAGCCACTGTGAAACAAAATCCTGGACAGGAGGACCTATGGTTTGTTTCAGCAGAGATCTTTTTATGTTCTGATATGCTCTTTCTCTCATTTTCTTAGGCAAATTCAGACAACCAGTCAAAGTTGACTGAAACAGACACTGAACTGGAAGCAAAGAAAAATCAGAATATGGAAAGCAGTTCTATGTTGGAATTTCTAAGTGATGTACCTTTCGCTCTTGCACCACATGTTTTGGCAGTGCAAGATACCTGTAATGATTTCTCAAGGCAGTTGTTCTCCTGTGATGTCAATGACAATTTAGCAAGATTTTGGTATGATTTTACACTTGAAAATTCAGTGTTATGTGAGTCCTAAAGTTGAGTTACTTAATATAAAAATGTACCTAGATCACTTGAAATAAAATATGCTGGTATTATCTGTCATGTAAGTCTGCTTGTTTGTGTCTACCACTAGTCTAACAGAACATTATTATGTTCCATCCTTGTCATGTTTCTTACAATGTTTTAAAACAGCTAAGCCAAACTTCACAACTCAATTACAATAAACAGGCTATAATCTGAATTCATTGAAAATAATCCAGTAGAAATTTCATATAAGCTTCCAGATGCTTATATTAGCTTAGCCCTTGCTTTATCAAAGGAAAATAACCTAAATATTACATTGTATTCTGACTTATAAATAAGCAACCTATACTATGATGATTAATAAATTAGTTAATTTTGCTATGGTACCTTTTCTTGAGGAATTCCCTACAACATCAGGCCCATCTAAATTTATACAACCTTAGTGCAGAATGAATTGATATCAAATATCTGAGTTTGGTTTTGGAGTTTTGATTCATATTTCTTGGGACTATAGTTTTTGATTTGCTGTTTTAGTTCTATATGCTTGATTTCTATGTTCATTTTTTTCCATTGCAAGCTTCTGCTGCAACTACGAGTGAAATTGAGATGTATGCATATACTGTACATTATATCAGTGTGTCTGTGTACACATGATGGGTGCATGGGTGTATATGCACATGGGTACATAATATACCCATGCATGTATATAAATTGATTTACCACTAGTAAGATAAACATGGATATTTAAAATATATCAGTATAGCTTTTCACAAAATACTATATGCTATTCTTCTCCAACTTCATGCCCTTCAGTTATCTCATGCTTTTTATTTATTACTTTTATGCAACAAAGAACAACATATAAGAAGTAAAAAGTAGATAATATTGTATAAAATGCAACAACAAATTAAACTTTAATCAGACAGAACTATATTGTCCAGTCTTTCTGTTGTATGATAAAGAAGTAATTCAAAGGCTAAGAATGCACACATTTCTTCAAGCTAGCCTTTGGTATCAGGGATACAATATTCTTTCCAAGATGACATAGGAACCTTTTCTGCAATAATACTGGCTTGATAGCTCCAGTGATTGATAGACAAATTCAATTTTTTGGGAATACAGTTTAACAACACATTCAAATCTTAAATTTCTTCCCCAAACCTTATTTACAATATTAAGAATTTTCAATATGGGACATGAAGAAATCACATGTACCTTCAAATTCATTGCATTTCCGATATAGAAAAGTAGATAACTCTGTTAAAATATTTATTGAAGAGTCTAATAGATCTGAATTTTTTTTTACAAATTAGTCCCATCTTACATTTATAAGAAACATATTCATTTTTAAAGATCTGAGACCATGACCTTGGTAGAATTGGAAACTCCAATTCTGTATTCCAAATTAATTGCCAATATTTATTTTTGTAAAACTATTCAATTATTAACCCTTTTAAAATATCCAGTGAAGAGTCAAATAGGCCCCAAAAAGAATCTTTGATAAATTAAGAAACATAATTATGCAAGAGAATATGTTAAACCTCAAAGTGCATACATTATAAGCTATACTATTACAATCTCCAAATACAATTCATTGGATAGAGTGTTATATCAGAATATAATGCTAATCATATGTGGTTCCTAATTATTTCAATACTATATTCATAATATTATGGTTGCCCTGTCACCTTTTGCATCCTAACCGAAGATATAGCCAATAGAAAAAATTGAGAATACCAATTATGTGAATTCATACTTTCTAAATCATGCAGTTCAAATGCAGAGTTATCTATGGAGAAGCCACAAATAATGAAAAGCAATCAGTGTGAAAAAGTTTCAAAGATCCTTAACAGAAAACAGGAAGCATCAAATAAGGTGAAATCTATATATCAAAATATTTTTGATCAGCATCTCGTGTTTGATAATCCTTATATGTGTTTATTCACTTGAAGATTAAAAGTAGATTTTTCCCAAGGGAACTCTGATATTTTGTGCTTTCTCTCTGGTTTGAGGGAGGAAGAAAGAGATGGGCAAGAAAGGGGAGGAAGGACAGGACAGGCAAGAGAGAAAATGTTCAGACAAAAGTTGGCAAAAATTAAAATAATTATAATTATTAACCAAACTATAAATTAATTTTCAAAGGCTCTGTGACTTAGGAAAAGAGGTAAACTCCCTGACAAGCCTACACATGATTCCAGATTATACAGATCTTCAACATTTCTCCTTTCTTGGGATCCAATAAATTCAAGGTGGAAAATGCATAGCATTTTTTAATGCTATGTATAAAAATAGATACACCTAATTTCTAAAAAAAAATCCTGCAAAATATTTGAAATTATTTACTCTATTAAATTTGCAGTTATTCTTTCAAACTAAATTTGACTCTAAAAGATTGCTTGACTTTTGCAGCAGTATATCTATATCTTTTATTCATGAATCAAGTTAATATTTTATAAAACTTTGTTTTATAAAAACTTTGTTTTATAAAATAGACATTAATGATTTTGCAAAAGCCAGGTAAGATTTGGCTGTCCATTCAACGAAACCATCTATCTGAACACGAGATAATGATATTTGGTTTCTTGTCTGGTGGTGACTTGAGACTGGGGCTTTCTCAGTCATCACCTGCAGGTTGTACAACATGCTCCCTGTAGATATCATGGGTCTTAGGAGCCTTTGAGAAAGCCTCAAAATCTGCTCTTTTCAGGCTAGATTTTAATAATTGTGAATAGTTTTAAATGGTTTTAATATGAGCTTTGTGTATACTTTATTTTGTTTAAATGCATTTAAATTATTTCTACTATAAACAGCCTTGAGCCATTTTGAAGTGTTGATATAGAAATGAAACAAACAATAATAGTAGCACTAGAAATAATAATAAATAGCAAACTTTATTTTATAAATTTGCTTTCAAGGTAAAACAATATTTAACATAAAGTTAACATAATCCAGGACCTTACTGATTTAGTTAAAGTAAAAACAATTGATTTTGTTTTCAGGGTGTTTTTTTTTTTTCATATATTTTAATGGTTATAACTGTATTCTCATGCTCCAACTCTTGATAGAAGACAACTTGTTCATAATAACTAAAAAAGTAAGCATTTAAAACAGTTTAGATAGCTGCAGAAATAAGCCAGCTAATGAATTTGATGACTTAATAGGAAACCACACATTTCTTTCTCCTTGACATTTCTGTAGCAGATGAGAAGACATTTTAAACAGACCAAGTTACCTATACATGGAAACTGGGTAAAGGAATGTAGGCCTGGCCTTGGGAATGGGGAAGGAATGAACAATCCATTATGAAGAAACATTCAATTTCAGTCCTGAGGAAGAGGAAAGTATGAGATAAATTTAAAAAACAAACAAACCTCTGCCTTGCTTTTGTTTAGTATAGGATGGAAAACTCTGACAGGCTTTCCAGATTCTGTTATTCTACCCTAAAACAATAAGAGAGTATGCCTGAAATCCATGGTATGCCAGATTCTAGACCTTGCCTATCGTGATAGACCTTGCCTATCGCTGGCACTGGGAGAACTACAACTTACTTGACTGTGGTTGATTCTGATTTCTGGTTTGTAAAAGAGGAAGATAAAAAATGGAAATGTATGATTTGAGAATCTGTTCATGTAGCAAAAAAACAAAAAAACATTTCAATTATATCTAAACCAGGATGTGCTAATGTGTATGATTCAAATAATACAAAAGTAAGATTGCTATGCTTTCTCTTTGTGATATTCATGATGGCCACTCACACAAGAAACAGCACAACAGAAAATGGCTGTGAGGATGTCAGTGTTGTGAAATTTAATTTGAAGAGAGCTGAAAGTTCATTACTGTTCAGCATTAAAAAGTGTGGGTGATAACTAAGAGGGACAGGCTCAGATATCAACCTAGTTGTAGGCAACTGCAGTACAGATGAAAAAGAATTGGTTGAACTACTACTTCTATTTAGTGGTGTTTGTTACAGAGATAAAATAAATATTGGAGATCAAAGATAAAGAACCGTCTAAGGTCACTCAGTACATACACATAATTAACAAGACAGAAAGTCTATTTGCATGCATACAGCAAAAAAAAAAAAAAAAAAGCCAAAATCTCATTGGAGAACATTTGCAGATTTAAGTATCTGTCTTTTTCTCACTAAAAGCATCCTCCAACTAAATTCAGAACAAAAAGGGGTGATAATTTCATTTTTAAACAGCATGTAAATACCTATCTACCTACCTACCTACCTACCATCTGTCTACCTTTTCCACTTAATTATGATGATGTATTTATGTGCCTTTGGACCCTTTGGAAAGCTGTTTATTGTAACAGATTTGTAGTGCAGCAATATTAATACTTTGTTCTCAAATTGTTTGGGAATGGCTTATTGTCATCCATATTGCTTCCTATAATTAATTTGTATTTAAGATTTTATATTTAAATTTCTCATTAAAGAATTATCTGATTCTTTTATTAATCATTTTTAAAATGCCATCAGTGATTTCCAGAAAACAACACAATTTATATTGTTAATATAGTTAATTCAGAGGAGATGCCTAAAGCGCCACTGGTGGACGACAGGGAGTGAACCCAATCAAACACAAGCTAGAACCACTACTGGAACTTACCTTTTGGTAGTAAAGGCAGCAAAATATCAGTATTTCTCCGCCCTTATTTCATCTGCAGATAGCCTCCTGGCAGCCTTGTTTTGGGTTAACCAAAGCCTTCTTGGTAGAGAATGGCTCTGGGGTTCATCTGCAGGGTCACTGTGAGGAATATGCCAGGTATCTGATGGATAAAGTTGACCAGATCCACTCTAAGTTGGACTTTGGCTTTGGAACAGATCCTGTGGAGGCTATTGGAGCTGGGCCTGGTATAGTTATCTGGGGGGAGTTTGATCCTGTTGGCTGGAGGAAGTGGAGAGGATTCTCATGTTAGCTCAGATACCTCTGCATTAGATCCATATCCCTCCTGGCTGGTTAAGGCTGCCTGGGAGGAGACATGTGGTTCAGTCCTGGCAGTGGTTAATTCTTCCTTGAGAGAGGGGATGGTCCTGCCATCTCTGAAGGAGGTGGTGGTGCACCCCCTCCACAAGGGGCCATCACTGGATCTGACCATTCTAGACAATTGTCCAGCTTCCAACTTTCTATTTTTAGTCCAAGCAAGAGTGAGTAGCTTTGGGTTTTTGGGCCTCCTGGCTTTGGGCACCTTCCATCTTCAGTTCTGGATGGAGTGGCACTGTCTCGACAGAATTGGCGCAATCTTAGGGTCCTCTTGGAATGATGATTTCTGCTCGAAGAGCTTGTGGAAGCTATGGCTAGGAGGGCCTTTGCACAGCTTTGTGTTGTGCGTCAGTTGCACCTGTTCCTGGCCTGGGAAGCCCTGCTCATGATCACTCATGACCTCCCGATTGGACTACTGCAACATGCTCTACATGGGGTTGCCCTTGAAGAACATTTGGAAACTTCAGCTGGTACAAAATGTGGCAGCATGGACAGTTAAGGGCACCAGTTATTTGGCACATGTGATACCACTGCTCTGTGAGCTGCATTGGCTGCCAGTTTGCTTCCAGGTGCAATTCAAGGTGCTGAGAATTACCTTTGGGGCTGCGTTAGTTACGGGACCATCTCTTCCTGGTTGTTTCTACCCATGCTATCTGATATGGCAGGAGGGGAATGCTGTGGGCACCATCAGCCAAGGAGTGCTGGCTGTCAGGACCCCATAGGAGGGCCTTTTCTGCCATGGAACATCATCCCTCCAGAGATTAAGTTCGCCCCAACCCTGCTGGCCTTCTGGAGGGCCTTGAAGACCTGGTTCTGTGCTTGAGCCTGGGGCCCAGGGTGTGTCGTGAAGTCTGTTTCCTGGCAGTGCTGAGGGCGTTTTATGATTCTCCAGCTGCTGCATGTTTTATTTCTCATTTTATTTTTATATTTGTATT